CCGCAAGGCCTCACGTTTTTCGTACGCCTCGCAGCGTCGCCTTCTGATGTGTTGACGAGACACCGCTTTTATACCTTTATGTGTCAATCTATGTACATTTTGTGCATAGTTGCTTGCCATCGCGACCTTATCTGCGTAAAGGATGAATTTAAAGAAATCTAAAAAGTTAGAATGTCAATTTTGTCAACTGCTGAAGGATAATCTTTTCTCCATACTAGCTTTTATACTCAAATTTTCACCTTTCTTAATGATCGTTTACTTAGTAACAGAATATTAAAAAAGTGGTAGAAATATAGTCTGTGGCAGATCTGTCTGCGACTAGAGCGCCAAGAGCCATCGAATACATTAGCCAGCTTGGTGTTTGCTCTGCGCACAGCAGCGCCACATGGCGTCGCGTTTGTTTATTTTAATACTCAAGCATTGTTGATCGCCATGTTTGTTTAGGGAACTGTATTAAACTACCCTCGTGGATTTGTTTAAGGTAGACGTCAGACGTGCCGCGGGATTTAATCTTTTGGTCAAACTGTTTCTACGTATTTTTCTTTTCTTTAGTTTCGATTTGTTTGTACTGTTACTGTTATAACAATTGTTGTTAACATTTGTAGATATGTATATTACAACATTTCATCGATCATAATCTTAAATATTTATGTTTGATGATGTATAGAGAAGTTTACAGAGAAATCTATTCAGAATCGTGATTCTGAGATATGGTTGTAAATATTCAAAAAAATATAAACTGAAAATTTTATTTGTTTGTTCGTAATTCAAAATTATACCTTCCTTGCACATTTCTGTTGTAATAAATTAGAAACTCTTTGTACTTGGCACACGTGTTGACTGATTCCATTACACAATATTGAATGTTTACAAGGAAATAAATAAGTCTCTATTTTAACGCTTTCACTATGTGTACATCATCAACGATATTTTTATAAGCTTCAGCATGCTTATTCGTTTGTATATTTTGAATCAATTTAAGATACAAAATCTGGATGACCGAGCTTTGCTCGGTATTTTTTTTTAATTGTGTTTTTTGGAAATTATATTTAAGTACGAATTACAATAAAATGATGAAATATGAATAATATTTTTCGATCTTACCGATAGAAAATGAATGATTCCTAACTAGATCGATTTATCGCCCCCGAAATCCCCTATATACTAAATTTTATGAAAATCGTTGGAGCCGATTCCGAGATTCCAATTATATATATACAAGAATTGCTCATTTAAAGATATAAGATAAGTAAGTCTCTTCATGGTATACAGTTTACTGATCTCTGAGTTAGGTAATTCTTTGAAAAGTAAGGTAAGATCTTTGAAAAGGTAATATGTACATTCATAGAGAATCGGATCTCTTGACGGTTCTCAACGATTACACATGTCATAAAATATAAAATCAAAATTTAATTCCTTTTATTAATCATTATTCAGAATTTCATATCAATTAACAAATTAAACTAATGTTGAAACCCCAAACATTAACAATCAATGTAAAATGATCATATCTTTGATATTAATCAATTAGAAAAGGTCCTTTAGTTAAAGCGATTTAGTAGGGAGTGTAGGTCAGAGGTGGCATCTGCAGAGCGTGTGCATCTCTTGGTTAATTACATTTGTCGCTACCCCTAACCTCTCCACCCCCGCCCGCCTCCGCGACACCCCGCTCACTTCGCCCGCCCAATTCGGTTCATTTGCAAAGTGCATTTCGATGCTGCGCTCGATTGTTCCGACCCCGGACTTAATTGCCCGATGCCGGCCCGTTATTTATTATTGACATTCGCTTGTATATTTACCGGTGTTTATCGAGCGCCATTCATTTGGCGATTCGACTAAAATAGATCGTTAAATCTGCACGGCATCGGGCCGCTCGTAAAAATGGAACCGCAACTGTTTAAGTACCCGATCGAATGTCGAATTGTTAAATTGTTTTAATGGATATCTCTTGGGTAATGTAATATTAGGCGTGAGGATCATTTATCTTTAACTCGATCTTTATCTGAATATCTATTAGGTTAGTTTTGAAATGTTAGTTCAGTTGCTTGTATAAACTTAACATAGCACACTGCGTTATAAAATTAATCAGTAAATTTTTAAGACGATTTCGAACAAATTCCAGATTTTTAGTCTTTGATGTTCCCAGCTTAAAATCTATATTTATATTTGCTCTTAGAGCACGCACCGGATACGATAAACATCGGCAAGGAATTCTTCCATACAAATCGGCAAATTGTTTGCGTCGGCCGCACGCTCGGTAGCATCGTATCGCTCATTTGTATTGGTTCTGCATTATTTGCTTGTTTGCGAATGGTCCGTACGATGTTGTGCTTTGATTTTTTCCAATTCGGATATAATGCGGCGAGCGTGCCCCGAGGCTATCTACTTGTGGCAATCAGTGGAGATGTACCGTTCGTTAGACGCGACGCTTGCCTACACTGGGCACGTACGTGGACCTCTCGAACAGGTACCCGAAGTCACTGATTTTCTTTTAGATTCCAAGTTTAGAAATCTTTACTCGTTCTAATTGTATTGATTGTGTTGTAAGAAGCAATCGTTTATGATATTTAGGGTTTGTAAAACATGTTTATTGCTCAGCCTATAAAAGTGCATTTTTATATAATAGAACTACTATTTAAATGTAAACAAGTGAAAGAGATATATTGGAGATAATAAATTAGTAATAAAGCTTACATAAAGTAGTTAATAGTAAGACTATCAGTCTGTTTTTAGTGACTTTAAGCGTGTATCCCACTCGTTTTGTTTTATGAAACGATAGTGGTAGAATCGATGGATACATATACCCATTGCTACGACTAAGCAATTTCACAGTTGAATTACCAGTTAAAAAGGATATTACAGACATAATTATTAAAATAATTTATTTATAACCTTGCCGTTATATGGTCTGGAGTATTAGATGTCAGCGATATGCTAATATATGTCATGTACACGTGTGTGATCCAGTAACGACTTGACACGGCGAATGTGATAAATGTCAGCGCAGCAGCGTGCAGCGGCCAGATGTGCAATGCGGCACTGCTCGCTGCCCGCTGCCCACGCGCACGTTCCACTCAATGTCAATTGTCTAATTACATTTAATTGCTTATTATATTTATTTAAGGACAAATTTATTTTGCATCCTCATTATAGTGATGAATACGACTACACAAATGTAAAAAGTACAACATAGAAAAAAAATTGGCATGTCTGTATGTAAAATTGAAAAAAAAATCAATTAGTCACATAATGTATTTGCGTAGCTGATAACGAAAACCAGTTTTTAAATTTTTGACCGTCTGTATGTCTATTCGCAAGGCCGCATTCGCTACACCTCCGGAATTGATGGACCAATTTTGACAAGCCTTGGATTGGAAGATAGTTGATGCATCCGGGCATACTTTTTTAATCCGCAATATATAATAATAATATAAATAACATTATAAAAGTGATGCACTTGACATTCGTCTTAAACATATGTTATCTTTTCTTTTACATTAATTATAAATGTTTACGTAAGAATAACTACATTTTATTGACGTCAAACATTGTCGTTCAATGTAAACTATGCCAAATATTTTACAACTTTAGCTTTTGTTGACGTATTGCTCTGTAGTACAATATAACATTCTAATTGTCTCTAGAATTACTGAAGTTCATTACCGCTTGTCTCGATCATTGCCAAGGCGAGTACGTGGGCTCGCGGGTGATATATTCTTGATGGATATTACTTCGTCATGCGGATTTATAGTCGGTTGCTAAAAAAGTTCGTTCAAAAATAGATATGATCAAGGGTAACTGACCTACCTATGGGTAGAAGATAAAATTGTGTATGTGAATAGTAAATAAATTGCACATATCCCCTGAAATTTGGTTAAAAACACGTGAAAATGTTGAAAACTAAATAGCACATTTAAAAAGTAAAACATAAAGAGTAGAGTTCGAATGTGAAAAAGTATAAAAGCGGGCAAACATCATCAGAGCACAATGGGTTGTGCAAACAGTGCACGCAGTATGATTGTGCCGGCGGCGGGTCGCGACGGGCCGCGCGGACCTCGCGTTTTTTACTCCAACGTCGCCCAATCAGCGCCAGTGGCAGTTGCAATTATCCGCCGTGACAAATCGAATTACGATCAATTCGGATTTGCGCGCATCCGTACGAATATAAAACGGTTTGCATTAAAATTTGTCGTCCGATGCACGGGATGCCTTCCCATTAGTCGGCTTGTGCGCTAACTTTGTTAGCACTACGTCCCGCTCTCTCTATCAATGTAACGTTTTCATTAACCCCAACACTTTTCATATTATTTTTCGTTTAGTTCACTGTTTATTGACCATTACAATATTGGAGGAATTTTCGTTAACTAAGTTACTCTTTATTGTAATGTAATCATAGTCAATTTATAATCCTTTCTTTTAAATAACCCTTTAGGGAACTCAATGATCACCAAAAGTAAATTTGAAATATTGTCAACAATCCTGCAATACTTGTAACCGGTGATAACTTGTATCAATATTATAATCAAAAGGCTTCTTGTTCTATAAAAGAATATCACATTTAATGTCAGTATTACCTTATTCTATACGATTCGAGTATCTTTCGGAAAGCTGTAACATAAAGTTGGCATGTCGCAGCAGAGAGGCGCTTACGTTAATATCACGAGATAGTTGCATAGTGACGTCTGATTTGCAAGATAATTAATTTAATAATAAAATGTGATTTAAGGATGATAAATACATGTATTTGTACTCAAGCACTATTAGAATAATTTGCTAAGATTACAATCATGAAGCAAGAGTTTTAATTAAGCGTTCTCTTTGAGACATGATTTATATACACATTAAAATATTTAAAACTAGGTTAATAACTGACCATTAGGTATATCCGGGTATAAGGGACTACCTCTGTGTATATTATATTTAAAAAAAATGTCTTTGTTTAGTAACTTTTACATTAATTTCAAAAAATAAATGCTCTATCAATTGTTGGTATTTTTCAGGTATGGTTCCAGAACAGACGGGCAAAGTTTCGTAAGCAGGAGCGTTTGGCACAGCAGAAGGCGGGCGAGGCACCAGTGAAGGCGGAGGGCAAGCGAGACAAGCCTGGCTCCCCAGCCTCCCCGCAGCACACCCCGCCTGCACCACAACCAACGCACCATACTCTGCCACATCTGTCGCCGCCTGACCTAAAACCTATCACCTCTGCAGGTACATATTGTTTCTTACCTGCTTTTAAGAAGAAAGAATATTTTTTACTGAAAGGCAGGCAACGTTTCTGCAGTTTGGTTGTTATTACCGGTGACCATGGCTGACCTGCTCATTTTTGCTTGTCTGGTAAAAAGAAAAGCTAATTAGATAGTCCTTGTTAGCTCGCAAAGCAAAGTTCTCCCTCAAAGCCGCAAGATTGCAGCCGAAATCATTTTAGACGACTTACGGCCTTTTGAATGGTTTTTGTTTGCGGAGATCTTAGCAGGTCAGGTAGACCTATCTCTCTACATTTATTTGGGTGTTTATTTAAAAGAGAATGGGAAACACAGTGGCTCCCTAAGCTTTTCGGTTTTACTGAATAAAAACTACGTTCGACTACGTGAAGACTCTATATTAGAAATTTATTAGATGGTCATATCATTATTAAATATTTAATTAGGTTTGTAATGGTTTAAAATTTGGAAGAGTAATGCGAGAACAAGCATTGTTGGCATGAACAATGAGGCGATGACATCTCTACCACCTGTCATGTTCTGTTTTATATTAATGAAAATTATAATCCAATTAATACTATGATTAGATTCGTAGTTATTTTAAAAACCTACTAGTTTTTTTTCTTGCATTCAAATATGTAATTCGGCAGTATTCTAAGATTTTTCTTTAAATAGATTAATTTCAGAAGTCAAAATAAATAATTCTTACAGCATATCTCTTTGTTTTAACTAGACGAATCTGTCAAAGTCTGACAACCGCATACTTTGTTTCTTTTGTTTGTGCGCCACGGACCATTAATAATTGTCAAGAAAATCTATTCCCATGAAATTGTTAACAATTGTAAGCAATCAAACCGTATTTAAAAGCAAAACTACCAAGAAGTTAAAACGAAATAAACAATTTTTTTTGTAGGAGAAGGAGCATCATATATAAAATGGGCACCGGATTGCTTAATGTTAATTGATCCAAAGCCCATGAGGATCCGTAAGATTAGAGCAACAGCAAATGCGTTGCCAGTCTTTAAGACTTAAAAATAAATTAAATGTTAAAGGCATTCAATTATAATCCAAGAGTGTATTTTTAATTCTTAGGATGGGCTAATTTTTCTTTTAGTTTGTGAGTTTTAAACATCGAAAAACTTAAAATGTTTAACTGAAAAACAACATTATACTCTTACCTTATCTCGAAGGTTTAGGTGCTAAAGATCAAAATAAATGAATAGACAATAAAACAAACAAAGACATTAACAGGAAACAGTTTGAAAAGTTCGGTTATATATTACTTTAAAATAAAATCGTTTAAATGAATTTATAAACACTACAAGATGCTTAGCGAATCATAGCGCCAATCGGCCTACGTAAAAATAGTTTGAGAACATGTGAAAGAAACGGCATTAGTTTAATATTTTTGTGTTTCGAGTGTTATTTAGTGGCGTACGGACACACGGAGAGAGCGTGAAATAATATTTATTTTTGCTTCAGTATTTTGGCATCGCGCGGTCCGCGGTGGATGAAATGAAATGATGGTTTTTCACACCGCATATGGCTTCCAGTGTAAACAGCGTTTGATAACACGATTAGATTTTAATATTTAATTTAATTATGTGGTTACTATTTGGAATGTTGTAATAACTATTTTAAATCACTATCCATCTCGTATCGCAATACGTTACCGTTAAAATTTGTATACGATTTGGTAACCGAAAAAGAGATGAAAGAAGAAAGTGGGAGTAGGCAAACATTTTCACGTTAAAATGATATGGAATAATCCTACTTTGGTACATTGCATCACATTCAATGTTATTACAAAAACATCGCATTGAAAAAATCTTCTATTACAATAAACTATTTCAATGTAAAAATAGACACTAAATAAACAATTCTTTTCATCCTAAGAACAACCCAATGAATCACATTTGTATTATTTCACATCACTGACGTTGTGACGTCAGTATAACATCATTGTATATTTTTAGACGCGATATCTTCTAAATCTTGACGTAATTGTATTGAACATCGAATATCTTAGTGACTCACTGTGTTCAGATCGGTGGCAAATCTCCTCGAGGCGCGTGGGCGGGCGCAACAAGGCTGTTTTCGTCAAACTTAATTTGTCTCCCGCAAATAGATTTTAAATATAGCAACTACTTCAGATACGTGTGCATACAATTCCGCGTAATATTGGCGTAAAACAATTCAGGTCAAGTACGGGAAGCTTTCTTTGAAACATCCTTGTGGTTACGATCTGTGCCGTCGAAATTTTTTAATTATTTTATGAATTACCGTCCTAGCTTGTTAAGCTATAGATTCCAAAACTATAATTATGTTAGTGTTTTAAATATTTTTGTAAAAAATAGTTTTGTAACAAAGATCCGTAAAAACACAAAACAATTGATAAAAAAAAATAATTAAAAAACTCCATTTTGCATGAAACCGACATCTCAACTTTTAAATAAATAAATAAAAAAAATAATATTATAAAAGCTCTCAAACTTAAAAAACTTTTTGAAATCATCTTTACTTTCGATTCAAGTTTTAGAAACACATGTATGTTTATAATTTTATATCTTATTAATTACACATATACTACATTTAAAACACTTTTAATTCTTAGACGACATCAACATAAATATTTAGGTATATCGCTTCTAAAATAGATCTAAACTAAACAATGAGGCCAAGATCATAAGAAGGCCAAACCTTGATCAAAACAGTACATTCTAGTAGAAAAGTATCAAATACAAAAAATATCTTACGTTTCTGTTAAATATTTTTTTTTATTCTAAATATAATTTGTTATTATATAATGTCAAACTAATTTATTTATAAGTAACAAATAATAATTTTTCTGTTATTAAGAAATTAAATATAAATTTTACTAAGTATATATTTTTAACTTTCAACAATCCTTATATATCAAATACTTACTGCGTTTTCAAATATATTGTTAAAAATATGTAAAGAATCTACTTCTTATGTATTGTATTGGATTATGATGAATTGTTAAGTAGAGTACAGATGAGTGCTGTGGTTGTGAGAGACACCGAGATAGGATAATGCGGCCTTGCGGTGCTAGTAATAACATTAGGCTCCGCCACCGGCGCCGCCAGATTTTCACATCGGCTCATTTGCGCTAATTGTGCGCGTGATTGTCACTCAGGCTTGAATAAACAACGGCGCTGCGCGGCAAGGATTAGGTGATTAGCACTAATTGCGTTACCACGATCATTTCCGCGTACAGCCGTCAGAGTGCGCTCCGATTTCATATTCAGAATTGAACGTAGAGCTTTCGGTCGAGCTTAATGCGGAAATTTATTACGGCCGAGCTTATTTGGCAGCGCGCACACGTTCCGTGTCGTAATTAGGAAATTAAACATTTGAAAAATTTGTTCACCTAACATTGCTTGCACTCTCTGGTATATTCTTCCATTTTTGTATATGCAGTAATGATTGTAACCGAAACAGAATAATTACACATAGCGGACTTTCATTTGACGCGATGAACGTCGGTGACGGATTATCTATTCTCCTATATTTTTTTTCTTTTATCTATTTCAATCATAACATTATAGCAGCCACATTTTTCAGTAGCTATTACTCATTTTTGAATTATAAAATCTACCAAGGAGTAAGATTTATCAGCATGAAATCATCAGAACAATTTTAGAAGCGCGAAAAGAAACAATATGTTTGTTTTAAACATTTATAACTACAGTTACGTTTGGCATTTCAATAATACTTTCTTGTATTACAGCGAACAAACTCTGCGATGAGCTAAACGGTGTGGGCAGCGGGGGAGGTGGGATGCCACCAGTTAGCAGCGCCGGCGGCAAGTGGGCCGGCGGCTGCGGCCTACTGCGACAGCCCTCCGGCTTCCCACTGCTAGGTGTCGCGCCCCCAAACTACCTACTCTCTGACCACCTCGGCACTCTAGCCAAAACGAACAACCATCTTTTCTAATGGACTGTACCACGCGATGACGCCGACCTTACCACTGAAGATACACTGAACGCGTACTACTCGTCCTTGTATTTTATGTGACGGCAGTGAATCAGTGTCGCAAAATGTGCAAGATTTACAGCCTTTTTGAATGGACTGTACAAGCTATTACTTGTAATGAGGACGATTACAAAGGTCGATACACTGAAGTACAGTTGTAATCAAAAGTGAATTCACCACGGAGCTGTTTCGCTAGTTATTCGTGTGTGTACTTTAAGTGACATTGTTATGTGAACTTTAAAAGTGATTTACAAATGTGTAGCAAATATGTAAATTGGACTAATATGGGACATTAGTAATAAAACGACCGTGTCCATTATAAGTAGTGAATGCAATATAAAACATTGCAAAGTAGTGTATTAATACACTTAGTAATTATTTTAATTGAATGGCTGAATTACCACTTGTTAAAAATATAAAATAATTTAGGTGATACTATTTAAAATATAAAGTGACATTCCAAAAATATTTAAAATTATATATTGACTTTATGATTTTGATAAACATTTTTTAAATGTAGTTGAAGGTAAAGCTTACTAAATAAATTGTTGATAAATATTCCTTTTAATGTACTGAAATAAGAATTTGTATGATAATTAACAATGTACATAAACTACGTCGATATACGAATTGACGAGCGTTAAAACAAACGAAGAGTTACCAAGACTTCTGACGCAATAAGATGGTTAAAGTGGCTCGTATTTGATCGGAAGGAGGATCTTCTAATGGTAACTGCGTCAAGGAAAAAATGATGTTTAAAATCCAATAAATACTTTTTTTTGTTTTTGTTTTAAGCTTTATCGTGTTGAGGAAATAAAATGCTACGTCCAGTAACATTAAAAGGCTGATGAAGATTTGAAAGAACATTCCTTTATGGAGATAATTATAATTTATTGCAATTTTTTTTACATTCCGATGTATTTTAATTTTTTATTTATTTAATGGCACCAAAAATATCTAGTCAGTTATGTGTGTTTACCAATATTATATGATTTTAGTTTTATTTGAAGGAAAAATATTTATTATGTTAGAATGAAGTTGGAAATTGTTGTAAATATGTGTAATATAACACATTGTACATATGTATTATTTGTCATAGTATCGTAACTTGAGTGTAACATTCTTGGTGAGTGGAGGGTGTTTTAATAAAGAACCTACTGAACGATTTTGGTTTTTTTTACTCTACTTTCTTAATTGATCGAGTAGAGAATACTGATAAACTTTACTTGAATTTACTTACTATATAATTTTATTACAGTGTGCAGCAAGTACTAGGTTTTTCTTCTTCAAGTGCCTCTTCAGTCTTGAAGGTTGGCCGCTTGGAATATTTGGTTCTGTCAAGTGCAAGGCGAAGCAGTTCCTCCACTGACTTAGTCCCCGTCCTAATATTACGTAGCCAAAAGTAGATAACTAGTTGAGCTTAAATTATTAGGTCTTTCCGCAAAATTTACAGAGTGTTTTATATTTTTTTGACAATTATTTATCTTAAACATTTTTTACATCGGTTATTGAAGTGTATATTAACTTCCAAAATAGAACGGCAATAATAAATTACTTCCATTACCGCTAGCCTTTAGAAGTCTAGAGTCGTAAAATCCAATTACAATGTCGCATGATGCAACATTGAGGAAATTTAAATTTAGCGAATGGTTGATATTTCCCAAAGTAAAAAAAAAGAAAATTTTGTAATATTACAAATCGAAAATTTATAAGAAAACTAAATTATAAACAATTTTTACAACCTTTTAAACATCAATATTCGTAGAAGAGCTACGCATGTGTAGAACTTCAAAAAAGGCTATTGGTATAATTCCTATAGCAGTCGTTTAATATTTTCCTACGAAAACATTTTAACGACTACGAGTTGTTGAAATCATCTACAGATCATGTTTAAACACGGGAAATGGTTAATGTAGCCCGCACCGTAGCCCGTAGCATCTGTAAACACTGTTCCTAAATTTGGGCGTTATGAAAATTTGATTTACTAATATATCGATGAGTCACAATACGCCAATGCAAAACATGCGCGGGAGATGACGACCAATGTTCTTCGACTGCCACGTACCTATTGCCTGATTATATACTATTTTTATACTCGACTAACATCAAATGCGGCAGTCGTAAAATAAATGACCACTTTATCTATTTTTATAAGTAAGAAATCTAATTTTGTACGTGATTTTTATTTCTTTCGTCCAGTCCAACTTACATCATATCATGCAGTAAAATAAAGGTGTAGCTTTAATATGAAGAATATCGTAAATAGTATGAAATTACTGTGGTATTATAAAACTTACAGACTCATGTTCTAATTATTATTAATATTTATAACATAGTATTTATAGTAGATATTTAGACATTGAACTTGCACACGCCGTGCATTATATGAACAGAAATATCTCTTACATTAAAATGTCCAGGCTGTTTTGATTTATTGAAAAATATGTACCGTTGGCATTCATATTCTCGCCATGTTTTATTCATCTAGATGACCAAAATGGTATATGGCTTATAGCAAAGCATAAGTTAAGGTATTTCTATTAATAGTTTAATAGATTTTTTTATATTTAAAAAGTTAAAGCAACAACAACAAAAGTCAACAAATGTAAAACTAATTGGTCAATACATTCTACCAATCCTAAGTTAATATTCTCAAAACTTTCTCAATTCACGCAATGCGGGACATGAAAGTACGTTAATCGTTATTATTATAATCACATCTTTGACTAAATATAAGGTAAATAAATTTAAAAATAATGTATGTCACCTTCCCTTCAGTAAAGTGTGAATATTGGCGACAATGAAATATCATCGGGATCTGAGAGAGGTCGGTGGGCGGCGCGGGGAGATCGGACGCAAGGATGCCGACACAGTCTGTGGGATAACAAAAGCTTCTACCATATATTATCTGAATTATATTCAAATTGCAGCTAGTTTCTACTGCCGCAATCACTGACACGACAATCTCTCTCCTCCTTGTCTTCAAATAAAATAAATTCCAGCTTGATACCTTCACGCGTGTTTGAGAAAAAAAATCTTGACAGACGGACGGACAACAAAGTGATCCTATAAGGGTTCGGGTTGTCCCATGAGGTACGTAACCCTAAAAAGATAGTATGTTTTTTATACTTACGTTGGTCCGTAAGAACAGTTGGGCCATTGCCTTCGTCGTGTGAGAATATGTATCATAGGGATGACAGTTGCGTGGGTAAAGTTGTCAGTTGTGAAATCATCGTTATGACAAAAAATTACGAGCAAATTTTGTCACTTTGTTCATCATCGGTGAAATATTTGTGCATGCATTTAACGATACGGATTCGATTCCTGTTCAAATTTAGTTTGAATAAATGTAGGCATTTTATAGATATAATTTGCGTTCAATCTTCTACAAAATCTTACATTTTACATTATCATAGAGTCATTTGTTCTAGATATTATAGAAATCCTGTTAATTTAATTTAAGTTAAGTTTTTTTAATTTTACGTGAGTTGCGATAACCTAAATAAACGCGAATATAAGAAATGAATAAAAAACTTAGTAGCTTATAAAATCACTTCCTATGATAAACATTTTATGCGTCTTATTGGCGTCATCATAATTTTATTTCTTGATATTTTATTTACCAATTCGTATCCGGTGTCGATCAAATTTCCTAATAAAGAAAGCTAATCATAAAATATTAAAAGAATTTACCGTGGTTAGATGAGGGGAAGGATGGGAAGAGAAAATATTCTCTGTCTGTGCATACCCTCCTCCAATGATTAAAGCAAGGCAACGCATCTTTAATTGAGGATGTCTATGGGCAACTGTCAGGTGGCTCATCGCTAGTTTGCCACCATAAAATAAAAATAAAATCCTAGAACGAAGATATAAACTAGTAATGTATACATGCAATAATGCGAGATGCAAAATACACAAACTAGATTAACGTTTAAATGTCCTATAAACTAAAATACGAATTATGTTTATAGCTAAAACCTCTTAATTTTTATAGAGACCGATGATTACACTAACATTCCTTTTGATGTAACAAAAATATCTCTTCAAAGTAAATTCGTGAAAACTGCATCAGAACATAAACATTACAGTAATAAATATAGCAATATACATCTCTATTTTTAGCAAAAATTAATATCGATCATAAATAGAATCAATATAAGACCATTTCATCGTATTTTCCTCGAAGTTGTAAAGATCCATAAACAAAGAAATTCGTTAGAACAAAAGAGACAAATACGTGTCTTGGTTTTTTATTAGAATGAAGGTCGGTCACTTTCTTTGAAGAATGTCTATAGAATAACTTCAAATAAGGCTGTTGAGTCAGAAGCTTATTTTGTAACGCTTCGGTCAGCCGTACGGTGGCGCGATGACTGCGTGAGAGTTTTCCAGAAGGGCGCAGCCTGCGCGCGCTCTCTATAAATACGTGGTCCCGAAATTCAGGAGTTCAGTCTAGCTCTGCTATCCGTGCCGGAATCATCCCTCGCAAGACACACACACATCACACAACATGTCTCTGGAACGTCAAGTCCGTGCCAAGGTTAGAACATTTAAAAATATCACGTTTCTATCTACATACACAAAAATATTTAGTAACTCTATGTGACTGTAAAAATATAGTAGTTTACTCATAAAAAATGTAATTCCAGCTCGCTTCCAAGCGCAATCCTGAGCAGGAGAAGGAGGCCCAGGAGTGGATCGAAGGCGTCTTAGGCGCCAAATTCCCCCCTGGTGAATTGTTCGAGGATGTCCTTAAGGACGGTACCGTCCTCTGCCAGCTCATCAACAAGCTGAAGCCCGGCTCCGTCGCCAAGATCAACACATCCGGTGGACAGTTCAAAATGATGGAGAACATCACAAAGTATGTACTTAAATTATTTGTTCATATTTACATTAAAATAGTTTGACGTAAAGACTAGCATTCACACGTCTTAAATTTAGTACTTACTCTTATACTTTCGCAGCTTTACTTTTTAAGCCGTAACTTTAATAAAATTATAAAATAATATTATTTTTTAACAATAGGCGCAGGCCGTGTTTACTAAGTATCTAATGAAATGTAATTTGCAGCTTCCAAGCAGCGATCAAAGCGTACGGCGTACCTGACATAGACGTATTCCAGACAGTGGACCTCTGGGAGAAGAAAGACATCGCTCAAGTCGTCAGCACACTCTTTGCCCTCGGCCGTGAGGTAAAAAATACATTTATAATTTATTGGTATTACCGTAATTTAGAAGTCATAGTACAAGTACATAAGTATTTAGTGAAGATGAACATATAAGGAAACGATTAGTAAAATTCCTCTAATTATCTATGTTTGTGCAGTACTCTTATTACCTTATAAAGGAGTTGTCGGACGCCTCTAATTATAACAAAACTACGAAGCGGCGTTCTTCTCGCTCGTACATTATAAACATGTACAGAAATAACGATTAGTGTTGCTGAAACAACGTGTATATGTTTGCTTTATAACACACCTACGTTACGATGTGATATTTTTGAATCTATGCCAAGTTCAACGATATTTTACGATTTTTGTACAATGTTACCTCACAGTCACAAATAACCAAAGAGGTTGTGTTGCGTAATATTAAAGTTTTTCTTTTGTTTATAGACATACAGGCACCCAGAATGGAACGGCCCCTACCTCGGCCCCAAGCCCGCTGTGGAGTGCAAGCGTGATTTCTCCGAAGAGGTCCTAAAGGCTGGCCAGACGGTGATCGGTCTCCAGGCTGGATCCAACAAGGGCGCGACCCAAGCCGGACAGAACCTCGGAGCTGGTCGCAAGATCCTGCTCGGCAAGTGAGCACGTCGCAAATACATCGCGAAAAGTGATATTATTTATAAGATTTTTTGTACAAAACTGAGTGTTATGGACGCTATTGTAAGGATGACATTCTTCGTGAAGATTTTGTAATCATGCGTGATGTAGGACTACCTACAATGGATGAAATTGGACCTTAAAACCCTGTACCTAATGTACATTATACATTGTTCCATGTAGCGCCAAGTTGGTTTTGTGTATAGTTAATAAGTCTTATATTATTTATTTAAATCCTTTTGATTATAAGTCGTTTTATTATTTCTTTTATAATAAATTACGATCTTATATTTTTATACCTCCTTTCATTTATAAAAAAATAAATATAAAACATATTTTTGTAACTTGTATTTTATTCCTAATTATTTAAGAAACTTTGTTTTTACCTTTTAAAGCTATAATATCCTACTGCAAGTATTGGCAGAGAACAAAATAGTCACAAATTTTATTTTATTTATACGTCTAAAATGTTGAGTAAAAAAAAATTTAACAGTATTATAAATTTTGTTTTGAGCAACGTTGAAGACGAATAAATAAAACACAATAAACACAGGATTTGACAACAATTGGTTAATTAAATATACATAATTCACCCGGTCATTAAAGCGGCTATTCACATAAATATATAAATTTTTTCGTATCTATAAATAGTGTGCAAAATGAATACTTAAAGTAAATTAGGAAATAGATTGTACCTATAAGTAATCATTGACAGTTCTTCACACGTTCTTCGTTATTCGCTACATGAGAAACTAAAACATAAATTGCTTCGCACTGGTTAACAGGAATTAAAGGTATGTTTTAGGCAATGATACGAGTACGTGTTGAAAATTTAACATATTAATTTTTACTAAATTAAAATTCTACGTTATACAACAATGTAAGTAAATTAACGATGACTTGAACATGTAGGAACAAATTTATGATCATCATCTCCCTCGCCTTATTACACTCTACTGGGTTCGGCATGAGGTTTTATAAACCTTAATGTTTTGACTTAATTTTTCCGGTCGGCCGCCGGCCTGCGTCAACACTACTTGGGCGAGAATTAAAATGAAAGTTAAAAACCTTATCTTTTGTAAAAAGACAAGATGTGTGCTAGATATTACTAAGGGTTCCTTCTTTGGAATTATGTTGTCTACCGTACTACATTATGAAAAAGATAAGAAGCATAGTTTTTTATTAAATAAACCAATGCTTGACCACAAAGCCACTCGGTAATAAGTGGCTACGTAATCGAAGGATGGTGCACACTAGATTTCAAAACAGGTAACCGAATCTACATTGAGACATGAAGACCACCATTTCTTGCACGAAATGTGATTTTTCGGCAAAATACTGGTCGAAAATATGTCAGGTGAGAAGTACAAGTTTCCGTACTCGAAATTTCGTCGAAAATACGTTTATTCATTCATTTCTTTCTCTAAAGGAAGAGTTTTTAATTACAGATTATTGTTTCATTAGAGCTATTTTAAGCTTTTTTAAAAGCTCGGCTAACTGCTACTACTAGCTCCATCTTTTGGTAGACTGTAGAAGCATAAAAGATTTGTCAAAATGTAGTTCTGGAAGTATGAGAAAGATGGTAGTTTATTGCAGTGAAATTTCTTAATAGAAATTTTTGCCACGAAAAAGCGTAACGGCCGCATGGAAATACTTTTTATTAATTCGTAGACACCCTCCTGATTTATTGATTTTTTGTTTTCATTTACTTATTGGAAGAAGTAATTGTAAATGTTATATTTTTGGTTTTAACTTCTGTAAATATTGTTAATTCTGATATCGATGCTGTGTTTTTTTTGTGGTGATATTATTAATTGACGACGTCTTAACAAATTTCCAATTAATGAAATCTAGATTAACGCATTTTTAAAAAAAAGTGTCAGCATAATTCAAAAAAGTACCGAATACCTAAAAACATATTCAATCGGATTTTATTATCATTATTAGAATAAAAATACAAGTTAATAAATATTTAAAATAATAAGTTATGATGCAATAATATAAAACATTTATTTTATTTATACAGCACTTTAAATAAAGTAAACGTAAGTTTTTAAATATTTATTTGTTCTAATTTTTATCTACGGAATTATGTAACTAATCTTGATTCAATTCTTTTATTTTAGTCTTAAAAGAGAAAATCTGGACGACGTTTTTTCTTGGCTACCAAAATAATTTTAGACATTCTTGGTACATATGTACGTATTTGTTAGCAAATAGGTTATAACGCCCGCCATCTGGCGACCGTAATAGTCTCGAATCCCAGGGTTAACGGCTAACGAAAATAACGAGCAACGAAAATAACGACCAACCGGACGCCGTTATTATTTGCACACGAACGTTTCCCAGAACCGTGTAACGCCGTTAAGCGAATCTTCAAACTAGGTTTCAGCCGCCGCTTCTTGATTTCATCGTTGTCTATTAATAAATCCGTTACATTGAAGCCTGTAGAAGTTTAGTCAGCGCCGAGCCGTGGAGCCTTCAGCACTGTAATTGTACAATGGCGCAATTTTCTTCAAAGTGTCTTATTTCATGTTCCAGTCGAGAGATGGGGTTAATTTACAAACGATGTTTTGAAAATGGACCACGAGATGGAGCTTCGGGTGCAATTCAAGGTCTGTAATTTTAGATTTGAAATTTTTTCATTTAGTAAATTTTAATTGAAACCAATAGGATCTTTTGATTAATTTTAATATTATTTGATAAATAGTGTTATAGATTTACGTTTTTAATTATAGCGGTCCTTCGGTGCATTTAGTTCCTACAACTTATTTTTTTCATTAGATGTATTTATTAAATGTTTATTTTTTACTAGTAAACTGAATCTGAGGTTTTCTTTTTTTTAGCAAATAAATTTCTGGAATTTGTTGATAATTTTTTGATTTATCTTTTGAATTTTATTAATGGACTAATATTCTACTATAAAACAATAATCATTATTGGCTTACAGTAAAATATATGGTTATATTACGTATAGCTTTTCTTAGAATGCCATATTCGATCTTTATTGTACTTGTTTTTTTAAAACTACGATGTGTAATAGGTATATATGATTATTGTCTCATACCATATACAAGAAAAATTAAAAGAAATAAAAACATAGATGCATACGATCAGATTTGAAAGCTTTTTATTATAATGATTCAATTTCATACAACTATAAATAAATGAGAACGCCATTCCCACTGGACGCCGGCAACGGGAACTCGTGTGAGATTTTGATATATATAGATCTGACTGTGATTGCGGAACGAATGCCGCTTCTGTGCCTAATCTGCGACCTTAATTATTACTTTTCTTTTGTCATTTCAAACCGTTTAATAAACCTTTATAATTGTACTTTGTGTATCTATTATTTTTTTGTAAAAAAAACAGATGAGCAAAGAATAAAGGCAAAGAGCATGATCCCTTCAAACCGTCGCTTATTCTGCATATTCTACACATTGACAAAATAAAGTTTCCATAACTACTGAAATGTACTTACTGTTTAACGAATAAATTCATCAAATGTTTTACTAATTCGGTGATTTTATTTTTATACTTTTTACTGGGACTTTAAATTAAACATCAAACAAGATTAATTATTACAAAGAACTAAAACTCTATTTAAGTCTTTGGGGATGACAAACAAATTGATAATATTTTGTATTAGAAACTGCCTACTAGCATCCTCTCTAGTAAGTAGTTTATATATTTTATGTGTTTTGTTCCATTTCAATCGTTATGTATAAAATAATTATTTTATTAATTGCAGTCTCTCTGCACCCACACAAAAGATTTAGTTGCCTGTTGCGTCACACTTTGAGTTTCTGCAACAAACAACCAGATGCGTCTCCTTTCATATAACTGCTAGTTTATACTACTGACTCGCACAAAAACATCTTATTTTCTTTCAATAAAAAGAGACGACAATACATATTGTGTCTATGCTTCAGCATCCATAACCTTTAACATCATTGCTTGTCTGATATAATATTGCGGGACGTTTAATTCTGTTTATTATTGCAAGATATAAACGTGAGCCAAATTTGTACTGATATAAACAAAGTCATCGAATTACGTGCTTACAGCCAAAATAGATTGAACAAAAATAAAATATGAAGATGAATAATGCAGACTATTATTTGCTCATGATTAGCGACTCCATCTTCGTATTTGGAACTCAGTTATATATACGGATACATAATAAATAAAAAATAAGCACAGTCATTTTATTTTTAAACATTATATATAAAAACCTCAACAAGCAAGCCTTCTCATTTACTTACACAGGTTATAAATAAGCATCAAAACGAATCGACAAAATGGTTTCGAAATAAAATGTGAAGCTTTTTTGATGTTCTTTCATTTAGAGGCGACAACACGATACGCAGTGTAGTTAATATTTCTTGAACCAACGACTTCCGGGACAGAGTAAGCTTTCTTCAAATTAAATTTAGATGTGGGCAGTTTAACAAAATTAATTGCCTTATAGTTATTGTTAGAAAATGTATTCTATTTTCTCTTATGTTCTACGCTGTGAGCCTTTTTCGTTATTTGTTTTTATGTCCATCTTAATCTATCGTCGATCTTTTATAGAGACTTATGTGAGTACCTGCTTATTTTTCTGCCAATTCTACTTCGTTGGTATTATATTTTCTAGGCTATACTTTTAACTTAATAACACCTGATAGGTAAGTTCGATATTTCTTTTCTAAACTAAAAAAGAGCAGTAAAGAGTGCCTTATTGTGCCATATGTTTATGTTAATAATATGTGGTCATAAATAAGTTATTTTAAATTTAAATTGAGTACTACAACTAAATATATTATGCACATTTTACATGTTGTAACTGAGTTCAGTTCACGTTGAAATCTTAAAATAGTCCACGCTGATGCAATTCCTTGTCGGAAAATACACTGCCCTCTTTCCTGCTATCTCGTTAACTGTATAACAGATGTATTTGAAACGAAATTCGTTCGATTAATGCTCGTATATTATTTTTATTTGTTAGTATAGAATGTGTTTATTTCTTTAAGTATTTCTTAACGTATTTATAGATTTGTAAATATAGCTAAGTCTTTATTTTAAACTAAGACACACATCCCTGACAATTTTATTAAAAAAAATATTGATTAAACTCAATCGTGTTGTGAAAGAATTGTAGTTCACACCACCCGTCTCCTGGTCATTTTTTGCCGTTTTTAGTTATCCACTTTTCTCTTCCTTCTTTGACCTTTTTTTATTTTAGAGGGAAATGCTTTAGGCATACTTCGTGCCTCGGGGAAAGCACGGTAGTTATGTGGGATTCTCTCCCCGAATGGGAGAATACCCACTAAACCGCTCTGTTCCCTCGGAGCCATAATGTGGGATGCCACGGGATCGTGTTAACTTACCACCACGACGCCCAACTGTCCTTCCTTTTTTGACCTGAAATCCTTTAGTATATTGATTTTTTAGCTTACCAATAAGGTATTTGCTCTAGATTGTTTACTTACCATTGAAATTCTTCCAAAACTGTATCTCCCGCTTAATAAAATTTGTTATTGTCAGGAGCCCATAAATATTTTACAATTGGAAATCCTTTGCATTTTATATTTTAAAGAATCCAATTGTTTCGGGCGTTGGTATTTTTTCATTCTTGGCACAGGATCCAATCGAGATAATACACGAAGCTTTTGTTAAAACCGAAAATTTCAAATTTTCAGATGACGCATGCACTAAGAATCGTGCTCACGACATCGATGGTGCGCCGTTTGCTGGATGCTGTCAACGATCTTTACTTAGAAATGTAAGTATGTAAGAACTATTATTAAGTAAGAATATTAATGCATGCACTATGGTTTTTTCATATCGTGGTGATTTCTCAACCATTTATAAAGGCAAAAAAGACTAGAAATATTAAAAAAAAGGCGCAAGCCAAGTAAAAGCCTCCAAGAATCGTACTGTCTGTAAAATCAGGACGATGAATGTCGACTGCATATAATTCGAAAAAGGCACAGAAATGAGAAAAACGTGTACTACATACTTAAAGCAAAATAAAAAAAAATTGTAGTCATAGTTAAAAACATAATTCCGGAAACATTCGACAATATGACCACGACGACTATAGAACACAAAAATTATTACTACTCGTCCAGTGTGAAATTAGCCACGATAATAAAAATTTCGTTATTTTCTTCACATTCTCTTTTTTATATAAGTTGGCACGGCACTATTTCTTGAGTTGGCGTTCAGGTGAAATCGGAAAAAGAAAATTTTTAAGTCCGGGTATATTTCCACGTGGACTACATCTACGAGTTTCACCTCTGCAAATATTTAGATATTAGAAATAGTCCGTACATCATCGCCTACTTACGATCACATCAGTATTTTCTAACATTATTCTGTAGTATATTGCTTATTAAAATGTTTTTAATATATGCACTTTAATAAATTTCCATTATCACTTGCCAATATTTTGGACGTTTATACCAGATCTCTCCTAATCATATTCCAAAGAAGTGTTTTGGCCTGATCTGTAGCGGTGTTCTTCTGTTTCTGTCAGATAGTGACTTAGTACCTTTAAAAGAGCAACAATTTAGTAAATAATTAAGGTATTCTTAAAATTAAATTTCAGAGTCAGAAAAGCTGAGCGGTTCAGACAATGCAGAACGTAAAAAAAAGGAAAAAGTAGATTATTTGTTTACGGACTGTTTTTATTGCTTTCTCTTCGTCTGGTTTTTGGCTCGACTCTGTATTTCACCTTATTTTAAAGCACACTTGAGAGTCTCACTGGTTTTTAATCACGTAAAATGTTGGTATGTTATGTCGTATTTCGTCGGAGAGAATCTGTTTTCACTGAAATCGATTAGTTAAGAAATGATGATGTTCCGTGGTATCTTCAATAGCAGTCGACAGTGCGGTGTACCAAAATAGCAGCAAATGTGCGTCCATTTGGGTTACTGCGTAGTCTGCAGGAAGTATATCTTCATTTTTCGGTATACAGTCGAACTTGGATAACGGAGAAGCTCGGGTTAGAGGGACGCCTCTACAAGCGAGAAAATGTCGCGGTTCCTTGAACTCTTGCTTATCCAGGTTCGCCTGTCGCTGTTAAGTGGAAAATATTAATTTATAAAATTGAACTGAATAAAACACGTTTGTATAACATTCATCTACATAGTCATAGTATAAAAAAAATATGATACCAAACTTACTCATATACAGTAAATTGTACTAAAAAATCTAAATGTTAAAAAGCTTATACAGGTAACTTTTAAGACCATCTTAAGACTATACGAATTATGTCGTTATTTTATGATTCTGAACAGATTTAGTCTGAACGTATATTGTATTCAGTTTCAGGCGTACGTAGCAACGTGCCTCCGGTACAAACAGGAGGCAGGTAATTTTAGAACTATGTTTCATACAACGCGAGCCGTGCTGAAATAGCAGACGTCGACTTATCAGCACTCTATTAAATTGAATGGCAGAGTTGATAGCAACATTACACTACCAGTTTATTTCGGTTACCATAATATATTATTAAACCATAATGTAAAAATTATTAGTGACGATAATTACTGTGAATTATGTCATTCCTATTTGATGTTATTGCTAACATTTGAATGGTATACATAAATATACAGAAATCATTTTTCTATGTAGCAGTTTTAGGTGGCCTTTTCAACATTCGCTTATACTGTACTTCAGGCGTTAATTGTCACAAACTCTTTAATTTTATCTCAACATAATTAAAATGATCTTAATGTAATTAGATGTTTCAGATGCGTAGAGCAATTAAAAATACTTATCGTCACCGGTTAAAAATCATAGCAAAACTATATCATCGGTTGATATTTCGTGATATACTTTTCGTGGTTCTCTAAAAGTGGTGTGTGAAATTTTGATATGACGTGGGCGCAGACTGCCCAGCTGCCCACGGCATGACTAACACTACGAAGCTTTGCTGAGCAACAGTTGCGAGGGTTAACGTGTTATTTTAGCAGCAACCCACGCGCCTACATAGAAATCTACCACACCTGTAAACACCTGAACGTTATTTAATCTATGCATAACATTCCTTCAACACATCTATGTAGTATGTGTATTTTTAAAATACACTTTTAAAAAAGTACCTACCAGTGTGTCGTACCGAACATTCCACAACTATTCGATTTTACGTAATTTAAATAATGCCGTGTTTAAAAAAAATAACAAATGAAATCAATTTTTAAACTTCTTTATTTCTTTTCTACCTTATCTTATTATCTTGCCTACAAAGATTGTTACGTAGTTAAAAAATATTGCTGTTACACAAAGCTCGTAATTTTTTTTAATTTTTGTTCGTAACGGTATTTGGTCCCCCTGAGACACCACTGATACACATTGAGATTGCTACACTTAGTTACGCGTGCATTGGCCCATGCCGGACGCACCGCACGCACCGCACGGAGTAAAGGGATTTGGGACGTCTCGATACGATGCGGGCGGCGCGGTTGGTGGAGGCAGCGCTATGTAAAATCAGACAAAGCAAATTAAAATCTGTTCAGAGCTGTGCGTGCGGTGCGTCCGGCGCGGGTTAATGGACTGCTGCTCGACGACGTCGAATAAATGATGGTCACAAGGGTCGGATCTTGATTAAAAGTATTATATTAGTAGTGATTTATAAGAAATGCAAAATAAATAGATCGATAGTACTCAATAGTATGTTAGTTTTGGCAACGGAAGACCATTCATCAAGTAGGGGTTATAGGAAAAGGGCAACCTAAAATAGATTGATTGAAGAATTTTAATATGACTTTAGATTAATTAGATAGGTTCTTTAAAAATGAATACCGAATAACATAATATACACATACATAATTACATGCATACACACGCACACACACGCACGCATACACGCATAGACACTCACACGCACATACGCACATACACGTACGCTTACAAGCATACACACCCACACGCATACAAACACACGCACACATACACGCATACAAACACACGCACACATACACGCATACACACACGCACACATACACGCATACACACGCACGCACGCATGCATGCCTACACACACATGCCACACACGCACGCATGCACGCATACACACACCCGCACATACACGCATACACATGTACACACGCACACACAAGCACACGTCCACATACACACACACGCACATACAGGCACTCATACACACACACACGCACGCACACGCGAACACTAACATACGCACGCACACACACATACGCACACACACACACACAAATACATAAATATGTATCTAACAAACTTTTAAATATAGCATCAATACTGAACTTTAATCTACAAAAAGGGTCACTCAACAAATATTTACTATTTATCATCCTTCTTAAGAAAAATATTTTACATCCATGGCAGTTAATAAGTAGCTCTACTATAAATATAAATCTCTGTAAATACTAATAGACTATAGTATTTTACATACACATTATTTATAATACATATATTTGTTGACGGATGTGGACATTTATGACAAAAACAACGGATTCTCCTCTATGAATATTATGCTACAATTACTACTTAACTTTTAAATACATTATTTGCACTAATAATTTTCCATTCTGTTTAAATATTTAAATACACAAAATGCCATTAAACTGTAATTAGTCATGTGATGTAAGTATTGTTATGACCAATAGCCAACCCACTGAGACCGATACGATAATGGGAGTCACAAAGGGGCGGCATCGTAACATGGACAAGTTTGAAATATTGCCAACGTCCAATTTTCCACAAAACATTTTTCCAAGACTATTTCACGGCCATAAAATTAATGTCGCCCGTGATAAAGTTGGCAGCAAAAATAGCGATGCTCTCATACATTTCACTTTTCAAATAATAAATATTTTCAATGACGTCCATGCGGTCCTCTATTAATCTTTCAATGGCATATTTTTGATCTCATTTGAAATTGATACCTGCGTCTGATGGTAACGATTTACAGATACGTCATATTTTAAAATAGAAGCTATAAATATTTTGAAATCGTAAACAGGTTTCGCGACTTCCAAAGCACTCTTGGTGCGTTGACTTTCATTTCGCTAAGGAATAAAGACTTGGTTTTCTAAATTTACAACCAATGTCCTTTTTCCAGAGAATAATTTACCTGTGCCACTAATTTTAATGTTTTTTGAACTGTCACTGTTACAACATTTTATAGGTAGATTAGAAAAGTGGATTAAAATATCACGTTCATTTTACGGTTATAAATTGTATTTAATTATTAACTATATTTGTAATTAAGCACATATAAAAAGTTTGGTAATATTAGTAGGATATTACTCATCGGTTTGAACACATACTCCGTGAGTCGATCTCAATACATTCAAGGTCATCTTACAAAGTCAGAACACAAAGTCACAACACTTATAAGGAAACTGTGTGTACATGACCTGGTGACATAATTATGACATTGCCTTAACAGTCAACAATTGTTTATGGTGATAATAAATTTTATTTTCTCTTTTGTTAAATTATTTACTCCGGCTAAATAACATACAATGCTAAGCGTTGATATAAATCGCTATGATTTATCTTCTTGTAAATAAACTTTCATCACTTTTATGCAAAAAGGCTTATGATTTTCTTTTCCGAATTCAGCGATCAATCGGCGCAATAAGATTTTTTGTATTTATGAACTCAATACACTGAGAAATGTGATTTTTCCTATTGGGCCGACCAAAAATACCAGTAAGCCGATTGATCGGTATGCCGATTGTGGCAAATTTGTGATAAGAAAAAATCATTATAACAAATAAAAATATATACAGCTCTAATAGGCACTTTTAGACCGCTACATGGTTTAAACGCTGTTAATGCAAGATACAGTAGCAATCGACATAATATTATGAATATTATGATTGTCATAAAAATCACGAATATGTAACAACAAAGTTGAGTTTGTACTTATATGTTTGTATGTGTTTGTGAAACTTGTAGTGAGAATAAATAAATATAATTATATAATGTGAGATGCGATGGATCAGTAGGTAAGAGTAATCGTTCAATACAATTGTGATTAAAGTGGTGATGATAATTGTGATTAATATTTGTGCCACCAAACAATGAGTTGTAATAGTTTATACACGTCGTGTAGCACCACCTCTAATTATTCTTTGTTGACATCTAAATTAATGACCATATTATACTTTGTTTTAATTGACATTTTAAAGAAAATAGTGAATTGTTAGAAGAATAACAATAATATCGTTGGGCTTATGTATTACTTTACACTGACCAAATCGAGTGATAACACACATTTAACAATTTTGTGACAGTGGAATGAAATACGAAGAATAGAGATTAATTTCGGTTACCTTTAATTCCGATTTACCGCAGCAGCTATGTTATCGTAATGAGGTATTTTTCCAACCGTGAAAAACAAGCTTGCTCTGCAGAATGCACACGGGGGCTTATTTTTAAAATAAAAATATTAATAGATAGGCAGGTGCGGTGAAGTTGGCAGACGCGCAGCTATGATGTGACATGGTCCTGGACTAATTGTGTACGTAGGAGCATATTTTAATTTGTTGTTTATTTTTGTAGCAATGAGTGCATGCCCTAACTGTCCCTGTATATGACGTATTACCATCAGTCCGTACAGTCTATATTACCATCACAACAATGTATTTGTCTTCGTTCGGAGCATTGGTCATTGCCGGTGGGCTATTATGGTCGAATCTCATTGCCAAAAATCTGACTCAAAGTTGTCTGAAACCGGCACATGACTCATTAGTTTGACAACAGTCCATCATATTCAAGACTTGGAATGTTTCGTGTATAACGATTGATTTATTTACGTAAGGTAATATTTTATGAGGCTTCATAAGGTGTATTATTTGAGATTTGGATTACAGGATAACTTAATTGATATGAACATTAAGCAAAACAAAAATTTTCCTAAAAGTTATTACATATTCAAAGTCTTTGCTAAACTAAGAAACCTTACAACTTTGCACCAAGTGCAAGCTAACAAACTTTCTCCAGGCTTATTGAAAATAAATTCGTCGAATAGTAGATAGTTTTTGCTACTTTTACTTTTTATAATACGTAAATAATAAATTGTTACGATTAAACATAATTATTTTTTGAATAAATTTCAAAAATGTCTTAATAAATTGCGTCAATGGCTATCCTATCATCTACAAATACGTAACAGTAATATGTCAGTAATGTCGAACAGATGCCAATGTCTGATGATGATGTCTTTATTTATTTGCTTCATTCAGGAGTCGTGTAAGTGATGAATAAGAGTGTATATCCCTTGTTCTAATCCAAAGCCTAAACATTTTCAATAATAGACAAACTCTACATTCTTACAAACTCGTAAACTCCAAAATATTTCCGGTAAAACCTTTGTCTCACATATCTATTATATAATTTGCCATTGTGTATGGTATTCGAAGGTGATGAATATAATCAGTAAGCCTTATAAATTTGTCAATAATAGATCCTTACTGGCTTACTGACTTATAAATTCCCAGAATATTGCTTTTTAGGCACAAGACCACTTAATAGATGTGGTATATTATAATTTTAATTAAAAAGACAACCAGCAAACTCATTATAATATGCTTATATGCTTTAGCTTACATAGCTTTATTCTATATGCAATACATGCCTTTTGAAAAACCAATAATTGTTATTACTTTTAATAAGAAGAGTTTAAAAATGACTTAGTTTATTACTAATATTGTTGTGTGATGCGAATAAATTCGTTGTCAAACAGATAAAATAATTAAATTATCATTGAAATAAAACTTCCAACTGTTCATTTTAAGCCTATGAAGTTTACCAAAATATATTGGTTATACATGTTCTGAATGGGTTTACGTTTAAAGAAATTGGTTTGACCTATCCGACAGGTGGAAAAACGAATCGAAACAAACTAGTGGCAAAACGAATCACACTAAGATTTTCAAATTGGACAAGTATTGCGTGACCAATCTGCCCGTAAAACCTCAAAAATTTGGTCCAATTTGTTTTGTCACTTATCAGTTTTGACTCTATAAAAAAATCATAAAAATCGGTGAATCGGGAGTGAAGAAACGTACGGAAAAATTCCTAAAACCCCCGTCTATAAAGAAGTTTCACTTCAAAAACTTGCAGTAGATACCTTATATGATGTAAACCTGATTCCAGAATGCAGTCAGTCGAAGAGTGTGGAAGGCGGAGGCGAGGGCGAGGCTTGGGTACAGGGGTCGGTGAAGCCGGGGCGGGTAGCGGCCGCAGGCGTAGGGGGCGCGAGGGCGCGCTCCCCTCCACTGGGGCCGTGTGCAACGCGCGTATAGACTACGGCGGCGCGCTGCCCTCGCTCATCATTCGACCTCCGCGCATCGCAGTCTAGGCACCAACGCCCTGCACTGTTAACGCGACCGGGAGCACGACTCTCGTACCGACTCGACGAACAGGTGGTGAAAGTGATACAATTTCCTTTATCATAACAAAATCGTGTGTGTTTCCATGGCTTCTTCCTAATGCGGTCTATTTATAGAAGTGCAATCCGGTTCCAGTAGTGTAACTTTACCTGGACGGTCCAAATTAGGCGCGCTCGGCCGCTGCCCACGCGCCGCCCGCCCTAAGCGGTAACCTTTCGAAATTCACGTAGCATTCGGAAGGAGTCAGCGATCCCAGTACGACGTCAGTAAAATGTGCCCGTAGAGATGTAGTGTCAGTTCGGATGCAATGGAAGTGTTGCAGGCGACTTGGACGCCGGCCAAAGAATGATGAGTTAAATAGAACATATTATGTCAGACTTTTCTATGAAAACATCGCCTCTTGTGTTACGTTTATAAAACAGTGAATGTTGGGGTGATTAGTTTGTTATAAGTCATAAAATATGTTATAGTTTTAGTTCACTATCGCGACCAATGATATATGTGCCAGCTTCTGAGTCGCCTCTCCACAAGCGTTTTGGAGAAATTGCAACTTAACTCGTTCCAATGCATCGCGCATAATCACTTTACAATAAAAAAATGGAGTGTGACCCATATGAACAAAAAGAAAGTTGAACATATAAATAACTTATGTTAATGTTATTTTTTACAGGATAAGTTAAGCGAGCACAATGCCTTTCAAACCTGCAGACAACCCGAAATGCCCGAAGTGCGGCAAGTCCGTGTACGCGGCGGAGGAGCGCGTCGCGGGAGGACTTAAGTGGCACAAGATGTGCTTCAAGTGCGGTCAGTATCACTTGCTTCAGAATTGTCATAAGAGAGAGGGTAAAAAAGGAAGAGCCAGAAAGTCAAGACAACACTTAATAACTAATAAATAATTGAGTTTTAAAAAAGAAAAGTGGCAAATGGTCATTTAAAATTTTTGGAGAAAACAGATTTTTTGAAATAAAAGTTGTCAGGAAAAAACTGAAAAGGATGGATGCTTGTCGTGAAATTTATGTGGTCTTTTTTAATAATAGAATGCTAAAAATCTTCCTAGGATAAATTCAATACTAATACTACATTTATAAAGATTTAGAAGACTTGTTTCATATAATTTTTAAATTGTTTACTAGCTAAAACATCTAGACGCCAAACGTACTTTTGTGGTTATAACTAACTTTTGATGTTGTAGGACTGTGCCAAAAATTGCTGGACTCCACCAACTGCTCAGAACACGAAGGCGAACTTTACTGCAAAGTGTGTCATGCGCGCAAGTTCGGACCTAAGGGATACGGCTTCGGCGGCGGCGCCGGATGCCTTTCCATGGACACCGGCGACCACCTGAAAGGAGAGAACGCGTAAGTACGACCTGCCTCGCACTCCCGCCGCCCGCGCCACCTTTTGAGGGACTTTCCTTATCTATGGCCGCCACAGGCCGGCCTCCGGGCCCGTGCGTAACAACATTAACAGCGTGTACATAAACTCATAGACATTAGGAGCGCGCGCTCGGCTGTACATTACGCGTCGCCTGACACGTGCATGACCAGTCTCCGTTTATGTCGCAACAGGAATTGAGTCGCAGCCGGCAGCGCAGCTAGCGGGCGCCGACACGCATCTCGGCCACCCTCGCCTCGGCGACGCCTCGCGACCGCCCACTGTACCTTATACTTTAGTTAGGATTATTTATTCGCTATTGCTTAATTTATTTTGTTTATCGGTCTTATATTTATAATTTATATAAAATAAATAAAAGAGTCGACCACCAATACTGAGTAGTTGTATTGATGAGTCGGAGTGCGCGCGGGCCGGCGCGGTCCGGCTCCGCAGCCCACAGGACCGCGTCGCTCCGCAAGCGCTCTAGCTCTGATCGTTCCCCCCTTCCTATCTGGGCGACCATGTGCAGCGAAGCTACGGTGAGAAAACCATTATGTAAGCCATTGCACGGCTTCGCAATGCTCCAGACGCACCCCGAAGCATGAATAACTCATGACACTATTCTCTATTTTAACCTTCCGCCTTACTGACTCTCGCTAACAACCAGCTAACGCTTGTCGTAGCTTTGATCGGAGCTAATACTTGTGATGGGATAAGGAAAGCGCCCTCATGTCGATGTGTAGTGTTACGGCGCGGCTATTTTTTGGGCCGGAGTGGAGCGGGCGGCTGGGAGCCTTACCTTCTCCCATTACGGCGGGGGTGCGCCGCCGATGATCGCTTTGCCGCCATTCGTGTGAACATTAAGTAAGGGCGATCGGAGAGCTCCGACACCCGAACGCTATTAACATATCTTTTGTCATCGTCGCTCCCCGGGACCCGGCGAGCGCACTTTGACTCGAGACGTATGTGCAGGGGCGTAAGGACCAATGGAGCCTGTTTAGAACCGCGCGTAATTGCGAAGGCTCCGCCTGGTGAAGGCTGCCCGCGCTGCGGCGGCTTCGTCTACGCCGCCGAGCAAATGTTAGCTCGTGGACGGGTGAGTTTACTATAGCATATTATTCTCGAATGCTTTAAAAAATATTTAATAATCGTAATGATCAAGTCAAATTTTTGAAAAGGTCAATTCTTATAGTTAAATAAAGCAAAGCTCCAGTAGACTTTAGCTTTTATTGCATAATTCAAGTGCTTATAGCAAAAGAGTAAAGAAAACTGTTGTATCTTAGGGCTATCACAAGCATTGCTTCAAATGCTTAACTTGCCACAAGATCCTTGATTCAATGACGCATTGTGATGGGCCAGATAACGAGATATATTGTCGAGGTATTTGAGCGTTAGCTTACCCAAATGAGTCTTCCTCAAGCCCATGTAGAGCAGTTTGTGCTATAACAGTCGGTGTCATTGTGGTAACGGTTTGCCCCTATGTTTGTCCTCGCATGCCGCGTCCTTCACACCTTTACTGTTCACTGTATGTTCAGGCGTGGCACAAGGAGTGCTTCAAATGCGGCGACTGTCTGAAACGACTGGACTCCACTAACTGTTGCGAGGGGCCAGACAAAGACATTTACTGCAAAGGTTCGTTTACTCATTCTCATGTTAATATAAACCTTCTGAATGGAATGATAAACCCAATTTTTTTTTTTGGAAAACAATTTATGTTTTCATCTACTAGAAATTAAAATCAATTCATTACACTTTCTTGTATCAACAGTTTATTTGTGTTCTAATTTTTTATTTTTTTCCTGTAGTATGTTACGCGAAGAAGTTTGGTCCTAAGGGATATGGTTATGGAAAGGGGGCTGGTGTCCTCCAGAGCGATCCTTACGCTAATGGGTAAGTATCAATTTTAGAGCTACGATTTTTTTTTCTTTCGATAAAAATCTTAAGTCTAAAGTCACAGAAATGAACTGTTTTGGACATAATTTAATTTTTTTATCAATTTTAATTCGATCAATTAATTTGAATAAGCAACACAAATGTCGGTTTCAATTTACACGCCTTTATTAACAAAACTGAAAGATTGGTTTAGCGGTTTTCCACAAGCCACTTATTACGTGTTGAAGTTCTCGGATTACAAGACAGGATTATTTCCATCCCATAGTCACTTTCATAAAAACAGCTTATAATACAAACAAGCGATGGCGGCGTGCCAGTTTCGAAATAGAATGCCCTCTCCGTTCTCCCACAGCCTAAATATAATCTGGGCAAAGACGATCTGTCTTACAGCACAAATTAAATTTATTCTATATTATTAATAACTTCAAGAATATTAGATATAAATTGACGATAAACATCATCAACCTGCCCTTATCCCTATCGAGGGTCAGCACAGTACACACCTCCATACATTTCTATCAGCCGTCATATCCGAGTCTACCCCCTTCTTACGCATATCCTCTTTCACACAGTCATTCCATACTTTTTTGGTCTTCCCCTACCGTTGTAGCCATCCACATTCAATCTCATTACTTTTTAATTCAATTCAATTGACGATAAACACACAACTATTTTCTGCTTAACGAGGTTAGCGACATCTTTTTATCGTAAATTACTAAACCAACGTATATATTTATTCGTTACTTCTGTCCAGACGTATCAAATATTTCCAAAAATTATAAAACGAATACTAAGACACAGATAATTAAAGTATACCGCTATTACTTACTTCAAATAAACGAAATATATTGCATATTGTAATTTAACATTCCTTGTAGGGACCAAGCTCCTAAAACAACGGTAATCGATACTGCGGCTATCAAGGCGCCACCCGGCAAGGGTTGTCCGCGATGCGGCGGTGTTGTTTACGCTGCAGAGCAGGTCTTGGCCAAGGGCCGCGAGTGGCATCGCAAGTGCTTCAAATGTCGCGATTGCACAAAGACCCTCGACTCTATTATCGCCTGTGACGGCCCAGACTCTGACGTATACTGCAAGACCTGCTACGGCAAGAAGTGGGGACCCCACGGTTACGGATTCGCTTGCGGATCGGGATTCTTACAAACTGATGGTTTAACGTAAGTGTTCAATTGCTTCTTACTTATATAAGTTACAATACCTAACTTTGCAATTACAAAAAAATGATTTTTTTTTTCCAATAGCGAGGATGAGATTTCTCAAAACCGTCCATACTACAATCCAGACACCACCAGCATCAAAGCTCCTAAAGGTCAAGGCTGTCCCAGATGTGGTGGTATGGTGTTTGCTGCAGAACAACAACTTGCTAAGGGAACAGTAAGTGACAATGACAGATTATCAGATATACTTGCAATTTTCCAAAAAACAATTAACAGTATTACGTGTGAATAAATCAAATTAGACACATTCAAACCTATGCATTATAAGCAAAAACTTACAAGTGAATACTTATTACTAAAAGTGGTTCACTATTTAACCTTTGAGACACTTTTGTACTTAACACAAAAATATGATAAAATTTTTACTAATTATTTACGTATATTAAATTACTAACTAATATTATATTATGTTCAGATGTGGCACAAGAAATGTTTCAACTGTGCGGAATGCCACCGTCCATTAGACTCCATGCTGGCATGTGATGGACCTGACAAAGAGATCCACTGCCGTTCTTGCTACGCCAAGCTGTTTGGACCAAGAGGCTTCGGCTATGGTCATGCACCAACTCTTGTGTCCACAGACTCTGAACCCACAGTTACATAGTAAGTATTTTGAACTTATATAAGTTGTGGAAAAACATACTATGGTTTGTTATCTACAGGATAAAAAGGTCTAGATTAATAAATACATAGTAACATTGTATACTATTTGAAAGATAATCTGTAGAAAATTCAATTTATTTTTAAAGGAACAAAAATGAAGAATAATAAATAAAAAAAAATCTGTTATGGTATAGTGTTCTTACTTTATTGTATTCTTACAAAATTATTTATTTTTTGTTGTAAAATCAATTCAGTATGGATTAATATTAACATGTACTTTTCCTTTTTAGCACTGAACAACTGCCATTCACTGGAGCCAAGGCAGCTAAGGGCAAAGGTTGCCCACGTTGTGGTTTCCCTGTCTACGCTGCAGAACAAATGCACTCCAAGAATGGATCATGGCACAGAAGGTGTTTCTCCTGCGCAGACTGCCACAAGTCTCTTGTAAGTATGATAAAAATAACTGAATATGAAGACTATTGTTCAATTCACATAATAATTGATTAAAAAATTAGAAAACTAAATTTGGTTAGTTTTTAAATAACTCCGATCTTCATCTTCACCTTTTTCGAGGTGAGTATTCAAAAATTCTTCTACAGAATCAGTGTTCCATTTTTCAATAGCAACTGTATCTCTTACGATTCCATCTTTATCGAGAAGTTTAATTATAGGATCCAATCCACGCACGTATTTAATTTGCAAGTTAGGGAACTTAGCCGGTCTGTCACTCTTTACGAAAGCTTGGATCTGTGGATATGCCGGGAATTTGCAAGTGCACACTTCTAAAATCGCGCGCGCATATTTCTTCTCATTTGTTGCACTCTCGTCGTTGTGGCAGCATTCCTTACAGTGTTCAATAAGCTGCTCTAAATTGAAATCTTTTAGTTGGTCGCAAGATGAACACAGAAGATTAGCTTTGATAAAACCCAAAGAGGAACAATCTTCCGTTGAAAATTCAGCTGTACAAGATTGCGTTTGGATTATAATAAACAAGATAGTGGACAAAGAAGCTATAGAAAAATACATTTTCATTTTTAAGCTGTTACCTTACAATAATTATCTTGAAAAAGTACTTTTCATTTCTTAATTCAGTTAATTTTTGAGAAAACAATCTTTTTAGACAGTATAAATGACAGTTGACGTTAACGTCAATTTCCTTTTACGTGTTGCCCAGTTATTTGTTCACTGACACAGCTTATACTTAAACCACACTGCCATTACAATATTTAAACTATGTTTTACAAAAAAACATCTTTATTCAAAAATAATGAAGTATTATATAAGTGTAAGCTATTCATTTGTTATTTATACGATACTAATTGGCTTCTTCTTTTCAGGATTCTACAAACTTGAACGACGGACCAAATGGTGAAATTTACTGCCGCAGCTGTTACGGCCGCAACTTTGGACCTAAGGGAGTTGGATTCGGAATGGGCGCCGGCACATTAACCATGGCTTAAAAGACAATACAATTGGAATTAATAAAACTACACATGCAATTTTGCATGGTAATATCTCTGTCATAAAATACCTAGATCATACTATACATTAAACTGGTTTTAATTATGGTTGATCTCTAATGAGACTAGAAGTAAAATGGATAGTTTTAAGTTGAAATATTTTATGATAGAATAGTATAAATTAAAGGTTACATTCCTTTCTCAATAGGTACAAAACTGCGATGAATGTGTCTGGGCCCTTAGTTTATAAATTCATCATAAAATATATAGATTAAGGCACATAGACTTAATAGATATGTTAAATGTATGTAAGGATTTAAAAACAATAAAATAATAAAAAAAAATATTTAAAAACAAAAATATGGCATTGTGATTACCTACCTTCTATAATTATCACACTGTGATAACAGAGGTAGGTATAAAAACTATCCTGTAAACACGGATAAAGATCGCATTTAGTTGTGATCGTTGCGACCGACCAGATCTTATACTAGGGATCTGAAGTGGATATACATATTTTTTTACACCAAAGATTTTGTATATAATTTTATCATTTCACATAATAAAACAGCAATAAGTTGTGCTAGAGTTAATAAAATATTTTAAGGCTTTCGCTATAACTTGCTTAATAAATTATAAATTATGTCGGCTTATTGCAGATCTTGTGGCAGTATTCTTCATTAATTTCATATTTAATAAATAAATAAAACCAAAATACACTTTTTTATTACTATATCCTAATTGGAAATAAAAAATAAAGAATCAATTATTTTATTCCAATCATAACATTTGAATACAAGCATTAAAAGCAAAACATCATTAAGGCAAATTATAACATAAAATGGCAACACATAAAAGAACAGAAACAAAATTCACAGCAGATGCATAATTATTGGTTCTTGATTATATACGTACCCGTAGTTAAAATTTTTCAAGACACAAAGAATGATTAACTTTCATTTTAAACAATAAAACAGCAATAAGTTGATAAAAAAAATATTTTAAATAAATTATGTTAATACTTGCGAAAAAATCGTTCTTTTGCTCGGGCATTGTTTCGCAGTTTGTTTTCTTAAAAGAATATAAAAATATAGAGGCGGAATGAATCAGGTATTTGTTTGTCAACGAAATATTGTATTGAGAAAGATTTGAAATCTTTTCAAGGCAAGTTTATACCCAATTTTATTCTAATTTCTTATCTATCAAGCTACTGATAAAACAACTAAAATGTGTGATTTAATCACTATAATAATAAAAAAAAACAAAAACTAACCTTTTTTTGTCTTCAACTTCGACAATCTAAATCAACTGTAAACTTATATATAGACTAATATACTAGATTATGTATTAAGTAATCCGAAATTTAATAAAATCACAAGCACTTAAGAGCTAGTGTTGAATGCAAACCTAGAATCTAATTTATAAAAAAAATAAATTGATTTGGTGCTTATAAATCTTATGGCATTCTAACAAATACAATTTGTACCACAATGGAAGTGTAATCTTAATACTGTGATATACAGGATGGAAACTTGGAGATGAACCTTTATGATGATCAAGTTACATTTTGTTACAACCTGTATATGATCTATATTTTGAAAATTAAAATATATAAAATGTCACCTGTAATATTATAATAACTTGTAATATAAATTGCTGGATTAATAAGACATATACATAGGGAAACTGAGGTAGGTAGGAAATGTATGAATCTCCTAAACTCTTTCATAATAACTTTAGAATACTTTGCTTAAAAGTTACCTTAAATTTGCCAAATAATGACAATAGTTATAAAAACGTTAAATTTTAAAAGTTCAAGTAAACATGTGAAAAATTTGTACCATACTCAAATTATAAATTTTCCGTCAGTTCACACATTTTATCTTTTTTTAACAACAAGGCGTGGCCCTTTTTGTTTTTTCTTGTCCTGTGAAGTTCCTGGTATGGGACCATCGAAGCCATACTTGTGCTTAAGTCTTTCTCGTATGAACAGACCTTTTATAAGCCTCCTCCAGTTACCGTAAACTCTTGCATCTATTTTCTCTCGCTCCTTCCTTTCTAGTTCTTCTTGATCCTAAAATAATATTCGAGGTTACATACATCATGTGCCAAAATAGCGAAAATCAAATAGGCACAAAAAATCACATCTTAAAGCCAGTCAAGAAAGTGTAGTTGTTTTGTATTTTTTATGGCATGTTACGTCTATGTAGGTTTAATATATTTTATGACAGACTATATTTGGAGATTTAAGTTATTATCCCCATTGTACGTATACTTATTTTAATTGTAGGATGTAAAAGAAAATAGTGATGGTTTCTACTAAATTTAAAATTCTTTTTTCTTTCTTAATTGAAAAATAAACAATTTTTACATTATAATATGATTAAGATTTAAGATAATCTATGTACCTTGACCCACGCTTCAGTTAAAATTTCTTCGTATTCCGTACACACTACAAATCCATCATATACTGGATGAGAGTATCCACCATTGAAGTCAAAACCTGTCAAAGCTGGAGCACAATCTATGTTCAATTTCTTGGCCACTCTATTCAAACCGGGCACTGAAATAAAAAAAAAAAATGTTTAATTCATGTCCAATAGATTTTATAGGGTGCAAATTTAGGTTTCTAGAACCAAGGAGTTTAGGAATTTAGATTCTAGTATTATAAAACCTACATTTAATATGTACAGTTCCTTTAGGAATCATGCATTCTTTGAACAGTTCGACATTTCCATATGCATTTCTCGGAACGATACCATTTTCTGCTACCGGTGGTTCATAATCAGTTACTTGCCATGGACCAAAAAGTTCCAGAGGTTTGTCTGTGATTAACTTGTTAGATAACTGAAAAAAAAAATTAAAAATCTAAAATTTATACAAATAAATTTAAAGCATATTCCTGGAAGCATTTCCACTTTTGAAGCATTATACATTAATTTGACATTATATTTATTATATTAAAATAGTCTGTAGTATAATACAATTTACTCACTTTATCCCACTTTGGTCTAGCTTTAACAACTTTATAAGGTTTTTCTCCGAGTCTGACAACTTTAGCATCCTTGAGCCAGATGTCACGCGACTTGCAGATGTGGACGCACTCGCGCGCGTACACAGGCTCGCCGCGCACGAAGCCCAGTGTTGCCGCGTCTTCAGGATACAGCGCCTCAAACTTTAGTAGGTGTCGCTTCAGTGCATACAGAGGATGGTTTTTGTACCTATCAATTATACCAATATATTAGATGCAAACTATCGTATTATATACTCGTTGTCGCCCGCGACTCTGTCCGGGATAAAAAAAAAATAACAGTAGCTTATGTGTTCTGCCAGGTTATGTTCTACATCTATGCTCTTCAGCAAGATCCAGCTGTTCTAGAGATATCTTTTAACAAATATCCATCCATCTATCATGGATCTGAATTGAAATAAAATGAACTTAAGACATGGTAAAAAAAACCTACGATTTACTAAACAAAATACTTCATTTAGGTTAGATTTCTGACTACAATATAAAATGTAAAATATATATTTGGTATATTAGAAACATTGATAAATTCATATGAAACTTACTCAGCGATACTTGTAGGTAGTGGTGCCTCTAGCTGCATTCTATCCAGACGTTCATCTTCTTCCTTATCCCGTGCATTCTTAGGTCCCAGCCATGGGGCCACCGCTGTGTTCCACCAGGATACCTCGGCTCTTTGCTTACGAGTAATTGTATTCCAATGTGGAACATATCTCCTTGTTAGATCTTTTAAATAATTGTTATTGTCCCAACCAACAATGTAGGCAACTGGATGGGTAGCCTTTGACTGAAATATTTTTATAGAAATTATTAATTTGATATATGGTGGCAGCAATTTTTTTTAATAAAAGTAAGAAAATTTGTATTGAAGATAGTTTACTTACATGAATTTCTTTGGCGCAATGAACTTTATTTCTGATAACATCGACAGGCACCCATTCTTCAAGTTCCTCAACAAACACTTCACACCAAACATCAATCCTGTCAGGAAGAACCTCATCGTCTTCCGACAACACTCTGCGGTCTATCCTGCGAGATGTTCCTGGTTTGGGGCCTAACTTGACAGGCTTAAAGTCATCATCACTGACACAAGGTTTGATGTCTTCTTCTGGTAAATGATCGCTATCTTCACCTGAATCTTTAGTTGTTCCTGAAATTTAAGTAACCTACTATTAATTATGTTTGGGTTAATTATAGTCTTTATTTTGAATGTCTGTCATTTTAATGTGATATGATTTTTAAATGTACAAAATAATCAGTGGATATGAATGGAATTTTATTATTTTTTCCTTTATAAATTTGGAACAACAACATAACTCACGCCCTAAACCCAGAGGGGTAGGCAGAGACCACTCTCTCGCTTCTTCTGCATTCATACATCTACGATATATTCATGTCAGTTTCGGAAAAAATAACTTAGTATTAATATAAAATTGCTCACATAGTATATGTATACTGAAAGTTGTATCTTTATTACAATATTATACACATGAAATCATTAAAATATTACTAACCTTTTACTTTGTTCTTCTTTGTTTCGGCTTTTGCTTCTTTCACTCTAGTTTTAATTATATCCACTAAGTCGGATGTTACATCATTTTTAGCTTCAGTTTTTTGTTTTAAAAGATCTTTATGACTTACTCTCTGTTCGTCTTCTATATAGTTTTCATCCCTAACGTTCTTAGCTTTTTTTGAAGTGGAGTCATCTTTGAAATACTTACTTGTATTGGCACTTCTTGGACTATTGTTTGCCCTTGTTTTTGTATTTTTTTCTGTTGTTTCCGCCTTTACTGTGTCATTTACTTTTAAATTAGTGGTTGTTGATCTTTTCCTTGGTAATTTAGTTTTATTAACATTTGTGCATGTATTTTCACCAATAAAAAAGTCACTTGCCGTTACTTCTTTATTTTCTTCAGTGGATACTTCGATTTTTGGTACGATTTTAGTATTCCTAGTAGCTCTTGCTGATCTGGTTTTAGCTGTAACAACACTATTTGATTCTTCTTTTTCGTCTTGTTTATTTTGATCATCTTTAGTAATATCTTGATTGGAAAGTTTTCCCTTCAGTTTTGCACTATTGGGTTTTTTAGCATTTCTTGAGATTGTTGCAATATCTTTTTCAATTTTGAAATCATCATCACTATCCGATTTTTGAGTTTTTGTATTTTGCATTGAATTATCTTCATCAGAATTTTTATCAGTGATATCTGAAATTTAAAATGTTATTTTTCGTAACTATTTAACTTATGAACAATTTTATTTTAGCAGATCAACACATACCTTTTGGTTTCAAAACATCTTTGTTATTTTCTTGCTTCTTTGAGGATCTCTTGGGTTTTTTACTTGCTGATTCTGACAAATCTTCATTTGATTTTGAATTGACATTCCTTACAGGTGTACTTTTTGCTCTAACTTTGGCTTGTGTTGCCTTTTTAGTGACTTCCTTCACTACTGTGTCATTAGATGTGCGGGCATTCGTGGTTGCGGATCTTTTTCTCGTAGACCTTCTATTAAGATTTTCATCTCCAACAAAAAACTTACTTGCTGTGACTTCTTTATTTTCTTCAATTTCTGGCACCTCCAAATTATTACCAGATTTAACATTCTTGCCTCTTTGCCGATTAAGTGATAATTTACTTTTAGCGGCGACTTGTACTGTATCATTGTCATCGGTTTGTTTAGCTCTCTTCGGTGGTGATGCACCTTCTGATTCTTTATGAATGTTTGCATTTTCTTTTGATATAGCCTTTCTTGATTGTGTTTTAGGATGTATTTCATCATTATTACCATCTACCTGCATGATTTTATTTGAAATAATATCACTGTTTGTTGCTACTTGTTTATTTTGGTTCACTTTAGTGTTACTTCTTGTTGATCTTGTGATACGTGGCATTTTATCATCATTTCCATCTATTTGCATAATGTTGCTTATATCACTATCACTATCTGTACTGTAATCATAATTTCCATCTAATTGTGAAATTTTCTTTTTACTGCATGTCTTTGTGGACTTTGACTTTGTTATATTTTTATCTTTACTCACATCCTTTTTGTCACTTTTATTTTTATCTGTACTCTTCGTTGACATTGAATGTAGCTCGAAAGCTGGAGGCTTTATTGGTACTGTTACGAAATTAAGCATCACCCTGCAATGGAGACCAATCGCTCTCAACATAGAAACAAACACATAAACAAGATATTTCTTTGATGTTATAATCCTATTTCTTATTTGTTGAATTAGTATTTCCTTTAGTTTTGGTGCCTTTGGTCTGAATTTACCTTCATGTTTATCTTTTCTTAATGTTAAAATATTTTGATACCAAGAGGTTATTTGTTCTACATATTTCATGTCAACTCTTTGACCAGGATAGAAATTCAAATTGCTTTTAGAACAAGAGGCTATTTTTGGAACTTTTTGGCCGGGAGAGCATTCCTTCGATTTTAGCTTTTGCAAAAGTGATAATGCTGTAGACATAACTTCCTGGTCATTTAATACAGTGCTAATGTAATTTCCATAACCCAGCCAACATAGAACATGAACTTTGTGCATGTACACTTGACATTCCTTTTTTACTCTGTTCATTTTTCTTTTCATCATCATTTCAACATCAACCTTTTTAGCTCTTCTTGCTACTGAATCTGGTATATCTACAATTAGTTGTAGCCCTTGTTGGGGTATTGATTTAGCCTCTAAAAAAAATATCACATGCATTAATTTTGTATACACAATAATTACAACGATCATGAATTTTAATAATGACATGGAGAAGCATTATTATTTAAATAACTGTCTTTATTTTAATTAAAATATGAATAAACTAATTAATTTCAAAATACCAAAAAAACCTTACCCTTTACTTCTTCCCAATCTTCTACCTCTGAATCACTTTGGTCTTGTACTTTCTTTTTTTTCTTTTTAGTGATTGTTCCTACCTCAGGTACTATCTCTTCTCCTAGCGCCAGTAAGTCTTTAACATCTGATTCATTTTCATTCTTGCTGTGTGAATACTTTAAGACTGACATTTTAGCTTCTTCAATTTTAGCCTTATGCTGTTCTAACTCTAGAAAAGTTTTCTTTGCAATTTCTTCGCTTTCATCTTTTTCATTAACTGACCATACCTAATATCAAGAAGTTTACACTTTTTTATAATCATGTTTTATAAGAAAAATAATATAGAAGACGCACTATTATGGAAAAAGCTAATTATCTTATTTACATAGAACTAAATAGATAACTAAGATAGTTATGAAGTTACTATCTTAATACAATTTTTAAGTAAATGATACAAAAATATAAGCATATTACTTTATGTTAGAAAAATATCGGTGAAAGGTATATAATGAGCGCTTTGAAACACTTTTCAAAACAAAAAAAATCTATCTGTTTGCAAAAAATGAAAAAAGAAATACTTACATCTTTATATTCAGTACCAGCATCATTGTTATCATTTTCTGGATCTGTGTTTGGTAATGTTTCTGTATGAAATTTCTTTTTAAAGATTGTCTTAGTACATTCATCATCACTGCTGTCTGGAAAGTATATGCAGAATTATGGAACAAGAATATTTATACCCCTATTTCTTTTTCAGTTAATTTCTTACCACTTTCTGAAAGATTAAGTACTGATGGTAATAACTTATCAGCTTCTGTTAAATCTTTAATCGTAAAAGTAGAAACAGGCAATGGTTCATCTTCATCTTCGGCGCTGATTTGTTTGTTTATTTTATTAATAAAAGCTTTGGCAAATTGGGGATTCTTTTTTCGATTAGTAGTTTTTTTCTGTGGCTTTTTGTGAACTTCATCGTCCGACGATGGACAATTTTCTTCCTCGTTAATACTGTCGTCAGAGCTAGGAGCCGATGATATTTTGGCGTCCGAACCGGAATCGCTAAAGTCGCCTCCCATGTTATCACTTTCATCGTCGTCTTTATAAACAGTTTTGATTACTTTCTTCCTAGTCGTAGGCATAGTAGAAAATCCGCTTTATCTGGATCCTTTGTGTTAACATAAAATATTGCGAAACACTTTAATTGCCCAATGCTCAAACACGTTCCTACACGCATCTAAAGCATGTTATTCTTATTATTTTGATAAAAAAATTGGGTACATCAAAATATTGGCGCTAATGTCAATGTCAAGTGGTAACTGTCAAAATGACATCGACATATTATATAAGTAGAACAAGTAGGTAACAGATTATGACATTCTTTGGATTAAGAATAATATTATTTACTGGAAATTATCTTATATTTTCTTGATTTGAGATTAGTATTATTTATTTGAATTGACAGCTAATTATAAACTATTTTTCTCTCTATATGTCGGTCTCTAATCTTATCTCTCTGACTGTCGTGGTCAGTAAGGTACCACCTGGAATAGATCGTTTTCCTACACTGACTCGTCTCTAGAGCGTCCTTCGGTCTAAATTATAATGGAGGACAGTAACATGTTAACATAGGTACAATATATAGGTTAGTAAAATTAAGACAATAATTAATAATTTTAGAGAACACTTTGATAAAATGAAAATAAGGATAATACGAAAATAGGTAAATTGGAAACTATTTTAGAGCTTCATCTACCATCTCTTTTAGACCTGCGACTGAAGGCTTCAGCACAATACATTATAATGCTGGTTTGAAATCAGGATCTGATTTCAATGAGGACTTAACTTCAATTTTTTGCATAATTTGGCACTACTTTGTAGAATTTTCGGAAATTAAAAATTAAAAAAAACACACATACACACACATTACACAATAATATGTCATTATAAATTCTGATCCATCCACTTGGAGTTTTCCCCTAAATCCACTCAAATTCAGTTTACTTTAATTTGTCCTTCTTCCTATTATTACTTTTAAAACTAAATTACACGTGAATAAATTGGCATGACTTTATTATCTATTCAACAATTTTAGCTGTATGTGACCGACTCATTCCTTCAGTTTCGATTTGCTAAAAGGTTTTATAATTTACGGTAATGGAAAGGTTTTTGTGTTTGTTTAAAGAATGGTAAATGGTTTGAATCAATCTCGTTAAGTGCTTTTGAACTGAGCTTTATTGCCTGTGTAGCGGTGTAGAGTGGATGAGTGTACATTGTGACCAAGCTACGACGGCTAACACTATTGCACTGATAACGAGTTTTGATAAACCTAACTATGTACATTTAAAATTTATCATTACTTTGATTAAAATTAAACAACAATAAAATAACTCACGTACACCACCCAGAAGGGTTGGTAGAGACCAACAAAGACTTCTATTAGGCTCGCTTTTACTTCATTTATACATCTACGCATGCATGCACTTATAAATATCCAAGTGCTATAAAGTTTACCTGCTGAATATTTTCTTATTGCTTTGTAAATGAAAGCTAATATAATGGATTTAGGGGCGTTACCTATTAATACTAATCAATTTTGTTCTGTGAGGGAAATATGAAGTTATGAAATACGCTCTCATTAGGTTGTAGATAGACGGATGAAGAATGCAATCATTTAAACCTTTAATAAGCAACTCGGTGCCCCATATAAGGCATAAACAAACATAAATAACTTCAATTGTTAGCTGCCTTATTGTTAACTTTAATTACATTTTGAATTAATTTTGTAATTAAAACGGAAGCTAAGGCGCGCCGCGTGAAGTTTAAGTGGCTGGAAACGGATCGACCCTGAGCGGGGTACGGGCACTGCGGGGGAGGGGGGATCTTTAGATGCAATCTCTAAGTGGATTAATTAATTCTGAGGTGCCAGTTATCTATGTTTTAAAGTAAAAGGTACCTTTTTACAACTTTACGTTCTTGTAAAAATCAACAGTATGCGACAATAAAATAAATCTTTGTAATCTGTATTTATTAGCAAGTAAGGTATATAGGAAAACATCGTGATGCAACCTGCACATATCTGAGAAGAAATTCAAAGATGTGTGAAGTCAACCAACCCGCACTTGGCCAGCGTGGTTGATTATGGCCTAATCACCCTTAACTTAGGGTAGGCTCCGAGCCCCTCGGTGGGGACGTATAGTGAGCTGACGATGAAAGTATATAGATAGATGAATTTAATATGTTATGCTAGCTGTCGCTTGCGACTCCATCCGCGCGGAATGAAAAAACTTAATTAGTTCCCAGCAATTATTTAAATTCTCACCTTTTAAACCTTCTCTAGACCTCCACGAACATTTCAAAACCAAGATAAGATAAATACGTTCAGCCGTTCTCGAGATTTAGCGAAACTAACGAACAGCAATTGATAATTTACATACATATAGATATGTATATGAAACTAGATGTAAGTTAGAATAACCCTGGAATTGTTTACACACTTGGATCGCTCTACATTTATATGCACATTTTATGCAAAGTGACAAACACTTACTTATACCTATTGCTTGTACGGCCATCGGTGAAATAGGTCACAAATACATATTTATTAAGAAATGACATGGAGTTGTCGTAATAAATTCGGGATAACTGGAACTTTATACGATTATGCAAGAATACCCTGTTGATATATCCAAGAGTTTGTTAATTTTGTTGAAAAAATAATTTTGGTATAATCAAGACAATCACATCGCAGCAGGATAATATGTAAATACTGCTACGTAATATAATAGTATTACGTAGTACTACGTCAATGATGCTAAACTTAAAATTTACACAATTATTTTTGTTTACCATACAGTACATTACTCACTGCGCGGGCGCAGTCATCCGGAGTTAGTATTGGCTTCCAACACAAGAAATCGCCAAAACAAAAAAAAAAACAAAAATGTAAAGTACTAGTAAGATTGGAAGATGAAAGAAGAGACAAATAACGATCAATTTCATGCAGCAAATAATAAAACAGTACGAAAAGTACTTGTGAAATCATATATTATTACCAGCTCAATTATAGCATTGCAAGATGGACACAACGTTAATTAACTTTATGTTTGAAATAAAAACTAAACATTTTTTGTTTTGTATGTATTCAACGAATTATTAGAATTCAAATCGTGTAACAGCGTCTTTAGTTTCGTCCGCGCTCGCAACAACGACGATTATTTTGCCCGTGCCGAATTCATAAGTGGAATTGATATGTCGTTAAATGTTTCATGAGGTGCAAGCATCACCTGGCCTGATGAAGAATAACGTATTCAGAACGCTTTTCAAAACAACACTCTGTCGGCGCTACATTATGCATGAGGCACTCCATTCGCTGATCCGCTCAGGACTCCCGTTCGCGGCTCGTTAAGCGCCTACATTACGAACAAACATTGATTTTCAAAGATTTATATTATTTGCAAACGTAGACTTTTACACGCGTACTTTATAGCGGCATAAAATAACATATGTTAATATAAACACAATATGAAACGATATGATTAAATTATTAACTCCGCATTGGTGCGTTTATTAAGCGTTGTTCTTACCTAATTTTTATTATGACTTATTTGAAAATTCAAAGGTCAAATACTTCGGTAAACAAGTTGGCGACGCCCATGCATTTTTGCTGACTCTAAAAGAGATTAAGACTCTATTTATTGATATGAAAATATGAGAATTATGTTCGTAGTATATTAGTTAGTGGAAATAATGTTTATCGGCCACTACTTTAGAAGAGCGGAGGGTGTTAGAAATGTAATATTAATGCACCGTCGTCCGGTAGAGTGCATTTACCTAATGGATCGCATGCATAGTAGGCGTATGTTGTTTACTTTGTAGGTTAATTTATAAAATGGTCCGGAGTGCCAAGCGGAACCGCGCATTAATTGAAAAGAAAGTCTATCTGTCAATTAATCTATTTATGTTGCGAGTATATTTGATAGAGTCGTCGAAAACTTGCACAAACAAACTTACCTATTACGACTGTTCCAATAAAAAAAAAAATGATGCGACACCTCGACGACGTTAGGCGAGAGTGGTATACATTACCGGAGTGGAAAAGTTAAAAAGCTTAAATGTATCCCGAGCTCGGCTAAAAGTGTCTGACAAAAGTTCGACTTCCATTTTAAAAAGCTCCATTACAAAACATCGAGATTCGCTTCCGCCACGTCGGTGACGGTGGCCGGGGAAGATGGAATTAAACTCGCTAAACTTTTCAATTTATTTTGTACGAAATCGAGCGTGGGTACGCGAATGGGATTTTCGTGAATATCGATGCGTCGCACCGAAGCAAGGGAAGGTGGGGGGCATTGTGGGTAGCATGTCACAGGGTCTGTGGACGATACGCACTCGCGATCGCGACCACCTGCTACGACGCAGACTCTGGCAATACGTCTTGGATGCCATGCGCAATACTGAGAATGAATTCGTTAACTATGTGTATGACGAATTAGTTTCTTGATGCTTTAAAATAAAAAAAATATATGTATTATACAATTAGAACGTTTCATAAAATGTTTGGTTATACGTATCTATTCTGTTCTTCAACTAAGTTTATCTCCAACTTTACAAATATAATTTTCAGGCACATATAACAGATATACATGCATATGTTACCTCCCTGGTAAATATAAAAATATTACATACTATACTAAATAAGATTACGAAAAAACTGAACTTTGCTTTTCAATTGTGTGTATTTAAAATTATATTTACAAACCATTATTACAGTATCCCAGTTTCCACCTTGTTGATCTAATCATGAAAATTTAAAACAATGTGTGAAAAAATACAAAGTATCAAGATATTCCTGTCATAGTTAAACACATACGGGTTCCTCCGCACTGAGCAAAGTAAGTTGAATTTGAGAAGAGTTGTAAGGCTTTGGCGCTGAGATAGTGCTTTTAGACCCTAACCCCGGGGGTGATGCAGTGGGTCCGCGAAGCTTCTTAAAATGTTTTCACTTATGTATATATGGGAATACATTACCCCCGGCCCGGCTTACTTGAGCGCACACTTACTTTTAACACAAAATTGAAGTGACGTAAAGCTTTCACTCGTCTCTCCTGTGTACGCTAAATTACATTTTATTCGAAATCCGAAACATACACTAGTACGTACAAACAGATTACTGCGCCTGTTTCCATAGAGAATGTATGAAATGTCTTTGAAATGTTTTTAAAGTCACGAAAAATAGCAATAGACACGCATACGTTTACTCAGGAATGCTAATATTCTTTCATAAACAATCGCTATCAAAG